GTTGTCTCTTACTTAGCTAAACCAAATGGAAGATTTTTCGATGGCTGTGGCCCTAGGACTCTGTTTTCAACGCACTATCACAGCTTGGTAGATCAAGTTGCTAACACAGACCCATCTACTTCCGATGAAGATATGAACCATCTATGCATTGGCCTGGGTCACATGGTAAGCATGTTAATGTGATTGATTATAAGTATTCATATATGTACGTAACATCTTTTCGGTTTATTGTAGCAACATTTCAGTTGTTTCTACGCACTGTGATTTATCCTTGAACTTCAAAAATATCTAATTCCTATTTAGTTATCGAGGTGTTTTACTGATGTCAATGTCGACCATCTTTGACACATGTATTACTTGCTTAAGAATGAATTTTAAATTACTGCAAGATGTCCGGAATAAAATAAGGCACCAGTTCACAAAGCCACTGACTATTTACCTGAACTACGTGAGATAGCAGTGTGGAGTATTAGTAAGGTTCTCGTGGGTCTCGAAATCTATTACATAACGAGAGATAAATCTATTCGCTACCATTCTCTAGATCTGGAATACCTTATGCTTTTAATTAGTTGTTCTATGTCCTACGGTATTCTCGTTCCAGTGCAATTTTGTTTATTATGTCCTATTGTTCGGTAGATCATACTGGAATAATCGAATCCGTCCAGATATATTACCCTTTTTTACTTCCTTTTAATTTGTTATGCTGGAAATTTTTTACTTGTTCAAATTACATTCGCAAGTTAGGATTTCTTTCAAGAAATTTCCTATCTGCATTATAAATGCTTAAGATTGAAAAAGTCTTGGGAGTGAGTGTATTCTCCCGAGCATTATATACTCAAAATGTTTCTTATTAAATCATCATCATAAGAATTTCGTGTATCTAATAATTGTTTGTTTATTTTCTACTTGTATACGTAAATAAAAAAGTCTTGTATGGTTGAAGCAGAATCAGAGTCAACGAATGATTTAGAAAATATCACATTTTTGTATAAATTTATTCCTGGTGCATGTCCAAAAAGTTATGGCTTCAATGCAGCTCGTTTAGCTATGCTACCTGATAAGGTTAGAGTTTCATGAATAAATTATGTATTGTTTTAACAATAATTTTTTTATATGTGCATAAACTGTTCGTTTCTTTGAGACCAGACATTTTTACACGGGATTTCACATAGTAATCTTAATCCATGTACCGTTATGTGTAATTGATAAAATCTTTAGTATAGTTTATCCTTTAATTGAGACCTTATTATCCAAAGATTGCATTACAACCTAATAGCAAATATGACATCTAAATAACCATCTAGTTAAACACTACGTTTGGTGAGAAAATTAATAATGATATTTGTAGTTTACCTCAAAAGTTCACTGTGTGCATATCTGTACTCACTTGAATGGCGATTAAATTATCTTGAATACTCCTACTTTTCAAATCGCCTACTGAATAATTCACCTTACATCATTTTTATTATGATACAGTCAGTCTCGATATATACCAGAACGTCATAAACATGTGAATATTTTTACTTCAGTCGAAGTATATTTATACGTGAAGTGACTTATTTAATGAGGAAAAGTTAGGTAAATAATCCAAAAGCAGAATTTTAGCGTTGATTTTTTAAAGTTGTTCATGCTGTTGATCTCGCTAGATTTTTTTACCTGTTATTTCGATCCCAAAATTAGTTCTGAACTTTGTTATTCTTCACAAAAATTTATGCATTCAGTGTAACCAGATGTTTAGGTCGTAAAATTACAGAAACAATATGAAAACATCATAAGATGTATCACACAAGTTTCCTCTGTAAAACGACATGCTCACCAATAGATTTTCTGGCCTCATATTGTTATTAAATTATTAAATGTTTGTTTGTCACAGCGACTTTATCTTTCCACCTTAGGTTATCCGACTTGGTTTAACCAAGGCGAAGGAGTTCGAAAAAACCACTGCAACATTTGCATGTCTGAGGTAAGAATTGTATGTTTGTTTTTTATTTATCAAAAGAAAAACTTTCTCAAACCATGTAACGAGAAGTCTTCTTAAATTCTTATCACAAAATTATCAGTTCTTCTCTCTATTAGTCTGACATCATAGATGACATTTGTTATTAATCATAGGTATACGAATGGATTTATGAGGAGATATTCCAGGATAATCAATGACAAACCGAATTCAATAGAAATATACACATTGTCTTATTTTTTATAACAGGAAGACCTTAACAATGTTAAATTGCATCGAATACGACTACCTTCTCGGTATCTTGTGTTATTAGCTTAGAAATTAAAAACTAAACGCGAAATAATCAATTGTTTATATTACATAGCTAAATTTCAATCAAAATAACGGTTCAATACACCTACGGCATTGTTAATTGACGCATTTTGTTCATTCTCTGGTTACTAGCACCTTCCACATTCAGTCATTTTCTCCATACTTTCGCACTCATATTAAGCGTCGAAGTAATTGCAAGTGTATAACATATTACACTCATTACTATGAATATCGCTTACTCACTAATTCTATTGTACCCAAACAGTTACAGGTTAGTAGCATTGACAGCTCCGACATAGAATCGACTCTCTGATAGCAGCAATTTAAAATAAGACTCATTGGTCTGTTCATTTGATGATATGGTTTAACATTTAAAAAACGGGGATAAGTTGGCACATTGCTGGTTACTAATTTGCAAACAATCATCGGACGATTACCATAGGAGACTTATCAAACTTTTTTTATAACGTCACTATATTAACTGGTGGATATCTTGATAATTCCCACTAACTGCAGTTTCTTCCTGCGACACGCGCATATCTTCGTACAATCTGTCACACTTCACATCTGCACGACGATTGAGATAACTTACTTGTGTCCATCGTTAGGTTTGCGTAGGCGGTCCTCAAACCGCATTCTTTTTACGTTTTGATAAAGAATTCTTTTGTCAGGTATAAATGAACCACAGTTAGGGAATAATTTTCAGTAAACTTCTAATTACAGCTGTCAATAGTATCTGGATACTGATAATTGACTATAGTCATTCACTCGCAACAGATATCTTGGTTGTGAAACTTAATTAACCGTAAAAAATCATTAAGCTATTGGAAATTTGTAATAACGTAATAATCTTTCAACCTCTATGCATATTTTGATTGATTAGTTTTAAAACATCCCTCTTTTTCATTTCAGGACATTATTGCAAGGGCAGGTTACAGTGGAGGACCTAAGACAGTGGAGTTCTAAATTAAAAACATTTTTATAACATAAAAACAATACCTTGAAAATCATATTCATTCAACTTTTAAATGGCACGTCTTAGATTTTATTACCAATACATATCTACTTCCCACTTTCCCTCATTAAATAATCCATATTTTTTTAAAGAAAACTGGATTTCTTACACACCTAGTGGTTTGAGTGTAAATATGGTGGGAGAAAAAATGATCTGTGTAGACATTTTAATGGATTATGATTTAGAGGAAATTCCTATGCTATAATAGGTATCAATAGTTTATTTTTAAAAACCGTATACAGAACTTTTGGCTACTGCAAATTATTATGAGACCACCTCAGCATATCTCTACGTGTTCGGAATTTGAAAAATTGGTTTCTGTATAAACAGACAATGATTGTTGAACCATGCTATCATGCCAGTTGTATCACGTTGTTACATTTCAGACGACCTACTAAATACAGTGTGATTCACTAATACTTAACCAACAGTAAAACAGAAATTTGCAATCATCTTAATTTTATGCATTTTGTATGCATATGAAAATCTGATACACATCAACTATTAGTAACTCCATTGTTCTATTCAACAAAAACTAGGAAAAAAACAACTTTTGAGCACATCGAGGAAAAATTTCGTTTTGTCAAATCCGATTTATCCTTGCATCCCGTTTGAGAGTGAAATGATTATCCACCACAGATCAGTATCCAGTAGAAACTTTGAACATATCATTCACTAAATCATTTTTCTTTTTTCATGTATGCTGTTGCGAAATGTAGCAACCACGAGACAATTTTTCGTTTCTTAGCCTACTATCAATTTTTCTGTGTATCTGGTACTTTTCAATTAGTGTGAACGTTAGACTGTTTTAGTATATTTCGAAGGGGAAGTTTCTAATAGGTTTTTTGATGATGATGATAATAATAATAGTAATAATGATACTATCAATAATTGCTTACCCAGATAAACACATTATACCATAATGATCCTCAAGTAAACATGCACACCTCTTTGGAATGTTGCAGACATTCGCTTCCATCTACACCAATACTCTTTGTTGTCCCAACAAATTTAAATAATCTGGTCTCTATTGGGCGATCTTTACGATGCTAAAACTAGCGATAACATTAAAATTCATGATGCAAGGTTTTCCCATGTTTGGATCAGTCTTTAGTTCTTTAATTCTGGTTTTTTTTATCGAAACTAATAGTACATGTATGCGCATTCACACTAACATTATATAAAAGCTTCGGGTGAATACAAATGAATTTTACAACACTATGCAATACTTCCTGAAAACTATTCTCCACCGTTGCTAAAACAGATTTTATTAGTCATGCGAATTTCAATTTACAATCTATGTAGTTGTTCAGTTGCATCAGACGATGAAAACTATTTATATTGATCGGAATTGCCGTTCTGCATAATTATCTACCTATATAGAGAGATTACTTAATCTTCTATGGAAGTCAACATTCAATCTTTGAGCAAAAATCCGATTAGCCGATTGACCACGTACAGATCCATGTGCTTGGCTTCGTTTCAAAGTGTGAGGGGTAGGAATACTGCCCGGTTGTCCAAACCTAAGTGGAGCGAGGCTGGAGTCTATGATGTAAAGTTGAAATTGAAACACTTTAACCACTGAAATGTTGCTCCACATCTACAATGCTCAACCTGTGATGGGTCACAAGGAAGACACCTCCAGTGAAAAAATTTAAAGTTAGTGACCCATTTTATTTAAGAAATAGCATGTAATATTCGGAAACATAAAGTTCATTAGCGTGGACACATGATAGATCGACCACCATCAACCATTAGCAAATTACCAGTAGTGAAGGAAGAAGCAGAACTCGAAAGGAAAGCTATTGCTTGAGCCACTTCTTCCACAGTTCCGGTTCGTCCGAGAGCATGTGTTTCGTTGGCTCTTGAAAGAAACTTCTCATAGTCATTTTCAGACATTCCAGATCGACGATGCAGTTCAGTGACAATAACTGCTGGGCTGTAGAATTTAAGAGGGTCAATGAACAGTTACTGAACTTAAATATGCAAGTGATTATCGAAGAGAACAAATAACGAGTAATCACAAACACTAATTATATGTAACAAGTGAACCATGGTGAATAAAACAGTGTAATCGACGATTTCGGGCCAACATAATTTCGTGACGAATATCAATAACTACATGTTTTGATTAATCGTTCACGGGAATCAGATGCATCGTTTATTAACATTGAAGGTGAAATAAAGGTTGATCAACTTCCATAAACTTCCAATCAGCAAAACCGTCCATTATAAAATTTTGACGGGTTTTCTGATTGATAAAGGCCTTTTCATACATAATCTTTCCAAGAACAAAGTCACTGATATTGCTATTAATCATTCACCATAACAATTACACATAGCTGTTTGCAGTATAAGAAAACAAACTGAAATAATTGGTTGTAACAAACTAATTTACTTGGTCGTTTATAACAACACTTATCAGTAAACTAACATTTGCTTCATATGCAACTATCAACTGACTCATATAGCTTATACAAAATAAACAGTGTATTTCAGCATGAAATGTGAACCATTCATAACGCCTACACTAAAACGTATTCGATGTCGGAATAGTAGTAAAAATATTGGTCCTGGTTGAATCGAATCACATTACTGTTTGGATGAAAAAAGTGTCTACAACAGCGTATTAATTAAAAGAGAACTGCATATCGGAAAGAGATGATCTTGTCACTAATGATAAAAGAAACACCGGAACGAAATGCATCATGATTTGATAAAGTTAATCCTTTTGATGAATAAAAACACAACAGTCTCATGAAACGTTTCAATCACAAAAAATATGTGCTGTGATTGGTCGAGCATGCTTATGTACTTGCATGAAGTTAATCTACATGAACAATCTCAAGTCAAAGTGGTGACAGTTCATTATTTTATCGCTCCGAACAGGCCACTTTTAGTTGAGGCTAGAGATGGATCAGTTAGGCTTTTTCCTTTCGTTGAACGCTTCTCACATCTATTACGGCTCAAAAAGTGTATATTGGTCCTCGAATTCTGAGGGCCGTGTTTTGGAATATCCCCCGGCTATTTATGTAGTTATGACAGTGACTGCACGGTATCAAGAGTGGATAGAAGAAACAAACCACATGCGGTCTTCATAATCACACTGCGATAGTGAGAATGCTTCTATCTACAGATGGCACAAGCAATAACAGTTCCTAAGGTGCTTTAATAGAGATTCTTAGAGTAGGTAACCTTCAAAAAATCACCGGTTACATGTAGTACAGCCAAAACATAAATCATGACTTTTAGAAGTTTGATTTTTTTCATCTTATTTCGTTTGTCCCCTCTGTTGATTTCAAAAACTTAGTCACAAAGTAGCAAGAATAACACCGCTTACTTGACACTATTTACTCGGATTCCTTTTGGAGCTAAATCTAAAGAAAGCAAAGAAAATAATATATATTAGCTAAATAAAATACTATTAAAATGTCGCGCTTCAAATTCTTCCTTCTTTATACAAAATGGAGTGAAGCTAAAATATTTAAGTATACAATGTCTGGTTAATAAGATACTCATAAGTATTCGAATGACAGAATCTGGATTTAAATTCAAGCTAATTTTATTGCATTTCAGTAACTTAGCAATAAATTAGACATCTCATTCAGTAGTTCTATAGTTTACATTAACGTCAGTGCAACCTCTAACAAATCAGGTACTAAACTACATAAATTAAAACACATCGAGAAAGCCAAAAAACTAATAAATGGTCATGCGCAAAACTGTGAATGCAATTTATAAATACAATCGAAAATGCGTAGTTGAAAGTATTACGCAAACTGTAAATATATGCATTTTTAGAATCTCAACCTGACGTATTGTATTGTTAGGAACTAGAATTAAAACAAACTGATGAAGAATATACCATGTAATGAAATGTGCATTTTATACAGCGATAGACAAACAACCAATCAATGTTACACTCATAGTAAAACAGACAGTTTTCACTATTCAACGCTGTTTATATCTATTTAAAGGTCTGTTTTATTTTATCAGGAATTTTGCACAAAAGTTAGCTTTACTTACCTAATGCAGTACATTTAGTGAATTGGTCCAACGCTGCTTTGCTAATGCAATAAGACATTACTCCAGGAAACTGTAAGCAAAAGAAACAGAAATGCAAATTTAATTTTAAATATTGTCATAAAACATAATTTAATGCCCTCAAGCCACACTTCAATAAAATCTCCATGTAATTTTTGAACACTAGAAAAAGTCATAACGATAACATCTGCCTTGTGAAGTACATAACTTGATGGCAATAAATTAATTTTTAATAATTATGGATAATTTTATTTGAATAAAACTGTAACTTACTAACTAATAAAGTAGTTTTTAAGTAGTCGGTGATAACACTAAAATATTAAACTGTAAAGCAGTATGTGTCATTTAATTAAACTTCAAAATCCAATGTTTGAGAAATAAGAAAGGAAAAGTATAAGACCTAGGTAGTCGCTCTTCACTAAATGAGTCGACGTGTTTTTTAGAGGTATTAATTTAACTTTTTAGGATTATCACACATTTCTAATTGTAAGCCGACTCTTCGCTCACCAGTTATCGTTATGGCTTTAACCATTCAGATCAAGTCATTTTATAATAATACCGTGATTTAGTTTTATATCAAAAGTCTTTGTTTAATGCTTACTGAAATCCGCAAACTGTCTAACTGTATTTTTGCATTTCACTAGTACATGTAGTAGATCAAAATCATAAAAAAAATCGTAACTACTTCTTTCGTCTTCAAGTATTTCGATTGGTAATAAAGGAATTCACGTGATGTATTGATTATATAGAGGTGTAATATTTATCTAATAGGATTAATGGGATGTAAGTTACGTACACCCAACCACTACCTACTTGAATGTGCAATTTTAACTATAGCAGGAATGGGTTGAATAAAAATTAGGGATGATCAAACCCATACAAGTCATCAGTCTATATGATTGAAATATGACTTGTTGTTAGATGACGGGTATGGATTCACGGGATAACCTGCACCGGTGGTCAGAGACGTCAGATAACATAAGTCAGAATCGATTACATTGTTTATATCATTTCACTGTTGATGCGGTAATAACAAATAACTTTGGCTGATCTATATTTTTGCGAGGCTTCATGTTGATTACCTGTGATTGACTGTTATAGTAATGAAATGAATAGATTACATGCAATAACAAACAAAAGATCATAAACTGGACAACATCAAAGTAACTATTTTGAACTCACTGAACGTTTTCCACAGACACTAGATACATTGACGATGGAGCCTTTGGAAGCAGCAAGATCTGGGATAGCCAAATTAGTTAAGGTAATCGCAGCAGTTACATTCACTTTCATTATGTGTTCATATTCAGTAGCATTAAAGCTTTCGACAGTATCTCTTATCATATATCCTGCGTTATTTACCTAAAATATTTGTTTAAAAATGTTATCTTGTAACAGAATCGCAAACACATAAAGGTCGCTAGGAATTAACCTGATAACAAACAATAAAATTTCAAGGTTTTTTGCTGAGGATTTACATCACCTTAATAATAACTTTAATAATTTTATCGCTATTTAAGCAGTATACGTAATCAGGACTTACCAATTTCACTGTAGAAACTGATCATACTAAAAAATGAACGTTAAGTGCCAAGATCTTATATAACAGGCATTTGTTTAGTTGTGTTGATAATGATCAAAATCGACACCAGGACCACCTTGTCAATCAAGTAACCGGAATACTTGATAGTTTGGAAAAAGGTCTTCACTTGGTTTTACGTGATCAAACGGTGGTACTATGAAATCTCTATTGTTGCTTTGATTACGGGTCAAAGACATTCATTGAATTTACATTTCCTGTTTATAATTACTTTCCTGACGTGTTTCAAGTTCATGATGCGTTAGAACGCTGGTACTACATCTTGAAATGTCAAGCATGTATCCAGTTCCACAAGTGATAGAATTCGAGTAGACTTCAGAACCATGTGGCTGAAGTCTACAAGTCAGCAGGCATGCTTATCGGCATCCGACAATGATAGTTTTTCTTGACTTAAAAGCAGCATTTGACTGTAGACCAAGAGGTCTTGTGGCAGTGTCTGTCATTGAAGTGTGCCTCAGAAGTAAATAAACCTTATGAAGGCTCTTTATTTGAATACTACCAGTCAAGTCAGAGCTTATGGCGAACTATCATCTGCTTTTGCAACCTCAAGTGGTGTCCGTCAAGGCTGTCCACTTTCTCCATTTTTGTTCAACTTCATCATAGACCTGCTACTGGAAATAGCGCTTTCGTCGACTGAATTTCCGGGCATTGATGTCCTACCAGGAGGTCCACTTATCGACTTAGAATACGCAGATGATATAGTCCTGTCTAGTGAAGACGCTGATAAAATGTAGAATCTTTTAGTAGCACTGAACAACAATGCTAGGATGTTTGGGATGCATCTCAGTCAGTCAGTCAGCTACAACGTAGGACCAGGCACATATGTGCATCGGTCCAGGTTGCCATACCTCATTAGCACAGCAAGATGAACACCGGATTCATAGGAGTGGTTAGGTCAAAGGTTGCAATAAGGATATAGTATAGGAAGAAAGAATTAGTTCGTAGACAGAAAGAATGAAGTGATTTTAGTCTCTTAGTTTAAGGGAAGACAGGGAGTGTATACACCGACGCCATTGTGATCGATTCCGAGCCATGTCCCCAAGAGTCTCCAACCATTGGTTGCGAAAGTCACGCGGACCCCAACCAAGTAGTCTGCATCTACCAACGTGGCTCAGACTAGAAGTTAGTGACTTCAGGCACTGATGCCACGTTTTGGTTTGGCCGCCCCTAACTTTCTTCCAACCATCCCCTACCCCGGTTAGCATTGCACGTCGTGGTAATCGGTGTTCAGGTATACGTAATACGTGGCCCAACCATCTCAGTCGATGAAGATTCATAACCTCATCAACTGATTTACCATCATTCCCTAATACCCTGCGTCTAACCTCACTATTACTTACCCGGTGATCCCAGCAGATGCCAGCAATATTTCTAAGGCATCTGTGGTCAAATACTAGTAACTTACGGGTGTCTTCTACTCTTAAGGGCCATGTTTCGCTGCCGTAAATTAAAACAGAACGAACTGCCGCGCAGTATACTCGTCCTTTTATTGATAGACGGATATCTCGCCTTCGCCAAAGGTGACGCAAGTTGGCAAAAGCCAAACGAGCTTTTCGAATCCGTGCTGAGATTTCGTCCGATACCAACCCATTAGGGCTGATCACACTTCCAAGATAAGTGAAGTTGTCAACGCGTTCGACTACTTCACTCCCTATCCTTAGTTCAGGTGTTGACGCAGACCAGTCCTGAAGCAACAACTTGCATTTAGAGGGAGAGAAGCGCATCCCAAACATTCTGGCATTGTTGCTTAGTTCTACCAGAAGACTCTGCATTTTGTCAGCGTCTTCACCAAACAGGACTATGTCATCTGCGTATTCTAAGTCGATAAGTGGACCTCCTGGAAGGAGATCAATACCCGAGAATTCAGTCGACGAGAGTGTTATTTCCATCAATAGGTCTATGATGAAGTTAAACAAAAATGGAGAAAGTGGACAGCCTTGACGGACACCACTTGAGGTTGCAAAAGTAGATGACAGTTCGCCATAAGCCCTGACTCGACTAGTAGTGTTCGAGTAAAGAGCCTTCACAAGGTTTATGTACTTCTGAGGTACGCCTTTCAATGACAGACACTGCCACAGAGTCTCGCGGTCTACCGAGTCAAATGCTGCTTTTAAGTCAAGAAAGACCACCATTGTAGGACGCCGATAGGTATGCCTGTGTTCTAGAACCTGACGAATGGTGAACATGTGGTCGATGCAGCCACGACCAGGTCTAAAGCCAGCTTGGTTCTCTCGAGTTTGTAGTTCACGAGTCTTAGTTAGGCGTTTGATAATTATCGAGGCCAGTATTTTAGATACTATGTTTGTTAAACTAATCCCTCTGTGGTTGTCACAGGATGATTTTGACCCTTTCTTATATATTGGGACGATAAGTGATTGCGACCAGTCAGATGGGATAAAGTCTAATTCCCAGATCTTAGCTAAAATATTAGTCAACTTAATCGCTAAAATTGGACCACCATCCTTAAAGACCTCTGGAGCCAATCCATCTGGACCAGCTGCCCTTCCTCGTTTCAGATTAACTATAGCCTTTTGAACTTCAGCAAGAGTAGGGGGACCTATTTCAATGTTCCATTCACACTGTCTGGGAATGGAGGGTAGTTGTAGAGTAGCTGAAGGCCAGCTGAACTGTTCTCTAAAATGTTCCGCCCATCGTTCTAAACGTCTGGACTGGGAGCAGATGAGAGTATCATCTTTTTCCGAAATAATCTCACTTACACTTGACTTATTAATTCCAGTTTCTTTTATTAGTCTGTAAAGCTGTCTTGTGTTCCCTATAGTCGCCGCCTTTTCCATCTCTTTTGCTTTCGTTACCCACCACTGCTCACGGTCGTTCTTTAGACTTTTTCTTAACCTAGATCTGATTTGTTTTCGCTCTTCATCATGTTCAGGACCTGATGGGACAAGTTTGCGAGAATCCATCAGTGTGACAGACCTTGAAGAAATCCACTGGTTCCTTGCAACTCTGTGGTTTAAGTCACTAATAGATGTCACTGCTGTTTCCACAGCTGATTGTATGCCCTTCCAAGCAACATCTGGGTCAGCCTCGTCTTCACAACTACCTAAGTGTGACCTCAGTTGTTCCTGGAACCTACTTTTGGTTTTCTCGTTACTCAAATCAGTTCTAACGGGTCTTTTTAATGTGGCTTTTTTGCGTCCAGTGAGGCGCAAGCAGATGCGTGCCCGTATTAGAGCATGGTCGGAGTCCAAGCAGGTACTCCAGAATGAGCGACAATCTTCTATCGACCCTCTCCAACGATGACTGATGGCAATATGGTCTATTTGAGTCCATCGTTGGTTTGGTGTAGGGGGTCGCCATGTTAGACGATGTCTCTCCTTATGCTTAAAATTTGTGTTTGCTAAAAATAAACGATTGTCTGAGCATAGTTGCAGCAGACGATCACCATTATCTGTTCGCTGTGTCGGAATACTAAAATATCCACCTAAATGCCTTTCTGTTTGGTTTAAACTGCCTATCTGAGCATTAAAATCACCTGCTACGAGTACTATGTCTGAGCGTTTAGCTTTCTGAAGAAGTTCGGACAGCTTTCTGTAAAATTCATCTTTCACATCATCTGAGCTGCAGTCAGTGGGAGCGTAGGCAGAAACGACAAAAAGGCAACGACGTGTGTCCCTATCCTTCCGAGTTCTTACGTAGCCGTTCAGCCGAACAGCACATAGACGACTGTTGACGGGGATCCACTCTAGCAGTGCTTGTTCGGCCCTCATGCTTAGTGCTATGCCTACACCTGCCAGTCCACGAGAACTTGCCATCGGGTCACCAGATACACGAAGGGTGTACCTCGTTGGCTCTCCGTTTTCCCGAGGTGAGGTCAAGTGAATGACCACACTGGAATCCTGTATGCGTGTTTCGGAGACACAGCACACGTCAATGGTAAGAGACTCTAGGGTTTTAGCCAAGGAAGCCTGCTGACCAATTTGACATAGGGTTCGTACGTTGAAGGCTCCAATGTGTAGTTTGGAGCGAGGTTTCAGTAGACCTGGGACAGTATTTTGCGCACTAGAATCGTTGGCTATGGTGACACTTGAGGTGGAAGCCGAGAGAGGAAATTTAAAGTTGAAAGTCGATGTAGGAGGAATAATAGGAATTGAAGAGGAAGGTTGATTATGAATACAGTGGTCTTGAGTGCTGTTAGAGGTATGAGGGCGGTTTTCACTTCCCGGTTGCCCACACCGTGGAAGGGTTCTTTTGGAGGTACCTGAAAAGGAATTTGGATTAAAGGTGGTCTTAGTGACCTGAGAGCGTGACCGCAGTGCCCAAGGGACAACTGCTTGAGGTCGGTCACACACGACCTTGTTATGGGTAATTTTTGTGTTAGCTCCGTACTTATTGGGACCTTACCGCCGGAGACGGATATCCGTGGGATAAGGCGAGGTGTGCATTTTTAGGGTCGACCTTTTCTAACCCCACCCCTCCTTGTGGGAAGGCAGCATCGCTGTCATGCTGGTTGTCTGAAGGAAACACCTTACTTCTGTCACACCTCTGTACAGTCAGCAGTACGACTTCGCCTTCGGACCCTGGATTTGTTGCTTTTAGTCTTACCGCTCTTCAACCGACCTGTCTGACATGGTAGGACCTTGAGGAACGGTTGTTCCAGCCAGTATAGCTCGGTTGCTTCATCACGATAGGCAAGCCCGACCACCACGTCAAGGTAGCAACAACGGTCGGGTGGGATGCATCTCTCCCACTCTAAATGCAAGTTGTTGCTTCGCGAATGGCCTGCTTCAGTCAATACCTGAACTAAGGATAGGGAGTGAAGTAGTCGAACGCGTAGACATCTCCACTTATCTTGGGAATCTGATCAGCCCTAATGGGTTGGTGTCTGACGAAATCTGTACGATTCAAAAAGCTTGTTTGGCTTTTGCCAACTTGCGTCACCCATGACGAAAGCGAGACGCAGTGTGTTAATTAAGGAATGGTGAGGTTGTGAATTTTCATCGGCTGCGATGGTTAGGCCACGTGCGACGTATGTCTGAACACCAATTACCACGACGCGCAATGCTGACTAGTGTCGGAAAAGGATGGTAGAAAGTTAGGGCGGCCAAACCAAAACATGGCGTCAGTGCTTTAAGTCACTAACTTCTAGTCTGAGCCATTTTGGTTGATGCAGACTACTTGGTTGGGGTCTGTGTGACTATCGTAACCAATGGTTGGAGACTATGGGTTACATGGTTCAAAATCAATCACAATGGTGTACGTTTACACACCCTTTGTCTCTTACTAACTGATTATTTCTTCCTGTACTATATCCCTATGCATGTTCCTTTTATATATTACTACCATTGAATTAACTACTTCTGCGAATTTAGTGTTCATCATGTTGTGCTAACGAGGTGTGACAACTTGGAACGGTGCATATATATGCCTAGTCCTACGTTGTAGCTGACTGAAATACGTGAAATATGGTAAATCAGTCTTGGGACTGAAATATAATTCCGACATACGTAATTCATATCATGGATATGGTAGTTTTGGAAACTCAAAAACAATCGTTTTAGAACATCCTCATTAACTAAATCACTCATGAAATCATTTATTTTTAATTATAACGCTCTATGATTGACTTACAGCCTTCAATTTGCCCAGTGAGAGTTAAAGAAATGAGAAGATAATGGGATGAAATAGTTGACTTACAATGTGACAGACTAGCATTTAACATTTTCTGGACACTTAATGATTGTAATTCTTAAAATTGTTTATTCTAATATACGATGGAGTGATTTGGCAAAAACTATTGGTCAGTGAACATCCCGTTGGAACTTCTTATTTACCAACTCAAAGTGTGGTAGTACAAACTGGAATCCATTTTGTTTGGAGTCGATAGTTTTAGTAAATACAGTTTCAAATAAATAATTAAGATAATGATAAAATTATGGAAGATGAAGATCAGGAAATTATGGTTTTAGAAGTTCTTACAATCTCAATACTGGTAAATACAATGAACAGAATAACACATACCATTGGCAGGTAATGAATTATGTCAGAGTTCCTCTATTCTGCAGTGACAGCCTATTAATTGTTCATCCACATCTGATTATTCTTAGGCCTATATTTCACAAACGTTTAAGACCGAATAAATAAATGTGAATAAATAAACGTCCGTCAAGTAAGTAGTTAATACAAATAAAATGACTATTTACCCACGTAAATATGACATGAGAAATCAGTGGCAGATTAAAGAGTTAAATTACCAATATATCAAGTTGGTGAAAGTGATTTATTGCCAATCGATATGCTTTCTCAACTTCACATGGTTCAGCCAAATCAGCCTCAATACACAAAAAAGGCTCTTTGTGCTTTTCATAAACGTCAGGGTGAGATATTTGGATGCATGCTTGTCGAGTTTCTTCCAATCGTGACTTATCCCGAGCAACCAAAGCAACACACGCTCCCAGTTTTGCAAACAAAATAGCTGTCGCTCTTCCGATTCCTGAACTTGCTCCTAAGGGAAAGAAAGTAAGACTAATTTTAGTTCTCATATATTTGTAATTTTCTGGACAAATTTGTATGGGCGATGGGTACGTACACACCTATAAATAACCGAAATTTTCTAAGAATTACGATGAAAACCCATCATTCACGTACTAAGACTAGCAGCAAAACTTGGCAGTGTTTGGGTTGTGTTCAATATCTAACGTCATCAAGTTCGTAAGTGATTACGTCAGACTGCGTCAAACGCATTAACCATGTACAATTTTATGGAATAGCTTAGTGTATAACACCCAGATATCATAGTCTGCAAACCATACTAATCTTTCAATGTAGTTTTACCACTGTAAACTGACGTACCCAAACTAACTACCCCGTTCCCAGAACACGAAGTGCTGTACTATAGCTTTCATGATGGAAAGGTGGTGCCTCAAAAGATTCATTTATGCACTACACATTAACAAGTTTATTGACAAACCAAATATTGCAACGAATACATATTGAGGGGAGTTTCACACAACCTTTTTGTAATCCTTGAATTCCATCCCGAAAGAGCAGAGGCGGGAAGCTACAAAAGTTCAAGTAAAACATGGGATAAATACTAGCATTAAATGAAATACCATTCTAGGAATGCCTACCACCATATTCTACAGAAGACACTGACAGCCGTCCGGAGCTGTGCAGTAGTATGTTCACTTGACTTGAATGTTGTGACGAAAACCCCCACATTTTCACACTTACAGGGTTGAGATTGCCAAGGACCTTAGTGAGTCCAAACAAAAGATGAGCATGGAGGCCGGTAGGTGTTTTGTTACTATAGATAATATGGTACAACACAGAAAGATGGGGGAATCAGAATGTCACAAATAGCAACAAGTCTTATCGTAACATAAAGTTTCGTAATACTGTAACAAGTGCTTAGCCCATTAGTTTTAAGGTAAGCATTTCGCTAGCAGATGCAGCATTAAAATACCACATTTACCTGTAATTATAGCCACCTTTCTTGACAGGGATATCATATCCATTCCTGTACAAAACATAATGAAGAGTAGACACTGAAAAATTTAGTCCACTTCATGAGTCCCAATTGTAATAAAAAGATAAAACTGGTTTTAGATACTTGATGTATTTGTAAAGTACAATTCGAATAATCTGGTCATAAACTTTTCAGTCAATCAAATAGACGGCTGAAATAACTGAACAAATAAACTAGAAAGAATTTTGAAGACAACTATACTGATAAAAACTAAAGTTTTTACACCATAAATGCAAGTCTCTTCACTAAAAGTTAAATTATAAAGAAAGTAAACACAGGATTTTAAACTCAAATAAATGCATAGAAGTATGTAAGCACAAACTCTGTACATACAGGCTGAATGTTATCAAAGCTGTAATAAAGACAAGCTTGTAGACTCTGGAGTCAGCCACTTGACATCCTCCTTATGGAATAATAGTCGCTTGCATTCGCACAAATTCTGTCCCATTAAATATGTTTGGCGACAGCGATGTAACCACACAAATTCCGTGGCATTGCCTGGGAGTACTTCGGTTGGATAGCTGTTTATCCGCTCACAGCTATTTGGGCCAAAACACAAGAGTCGTCTAGACCGTGATAGTGTTAACTACCTTACTCACTTGCAAGAACATTCGTCTTCGATATCTTTGCACTTAACTCGCAGTCTAGGTGATAGGCCCCTAGATGTTGCTTCAATTGTTTCTTCTTCAATTGGTATTGGGCTTGAGACAGTTTTTTCAACAGAATCCAAATCCCTTTTACTATGCTTATGTTTAATTAGTTCCATAGGGTCACGTTCATCTTTTTCTTCCTCATCGTACTCCTCGTCTGGCATGGTTTTCAAATTATCAACTAACGTTAAACTTACATACTTTGATAACCCCTACACCGAGTAATAACAATACAAGCAACCTATCTCTCATTTCATCATTGAAATCCAAACCCCGCTGATGAAAGATGGCCTTGTGCAGTAGGGTAAAACGGCGTGTCAATTAATTAGAAAATATTTTCATACGAATTCGTGTAGGGTGGGTTATTTTTCATCTCGCTTCTTGATGTTGAAGAATTCGCCTTAATCCTCGACAAAAGTCCATCTAGGTGAAGTCGCTCATTCGCATGAGCTGTAGCAGCTCAGTTTTCTGTACTGACGAGTGTACCGTTGAAATTGTGGAAATAAGGATGACTAACCTATTTTGTGAATAGCTTTTGATATTGTTTGCATTCATTTTGTAAATTTTTGCAGTCTGTACATTTACCACAAAATGATTGTGCATGTTAAGTGTATGACCTTGAACACACATTCTTTCGTTGTGTAACACTCTTTGCATCACGCACGTTGTTAACCACTCATAAATACACTACTATACACAAGTCTTTTGTTCTCCGTTGCTTGTGGCTACGATAGCCAAACTCTGAAACATTTATCATCACCTTTCATAGACTGCGGCTACATTTCCATGATATCCTATGCTTGGCTATATCACTGGGACTACAACAAACTCATTGGAATTAAGAATTATCTGTAATTGTGGATTCTGGTATCAGGCACAACCGAACACGCACAAATCTGCCGATCTAAGTAACGGCTCTTAGATTTTATTTGCGTTTATAATTTATAATTTGTATAATATAATATTAACGTCTGAATGTTTTAAGTTTATTGCTATTTTTGAAATAATATAATTTTTGGTCCACCACAAGATCTTAATAGTTTGTATTTTGGTTAAAGTACAAAACTCTTATTCCTACCATTTTTCATATCATGTTGTTCTGGCCTGGCAATACTAAAGTCTGGATCTACAACGCAGAAACTGACGTTCACCGGCGTAGCGTGATAAACTGACATGCACGACTCCTCACAATAATGAAGTCGCTTCTGGGCGATTTCAACCGGTACGTCATACACAGTGTGCTCACTTTAAAAAGAGGCTATCTTTAAACGAAAACACTTAACAGATCAACAGTTTATATTATTTCTTCGAAAATATACAATTAAACACGTCTCAGCGACGGAAACGTTACTGTGTACGTGGGAGCCCATCGATCAACAAACATTTGACGAGAACTCCTTTGAGAAATTCTTCTCATCTAATCTTCCCCAACAGGTTCATGCCGTTCTTGTATTATTCCCAAATAACGCCATAGACGGTCTAACTGCATCTGTCGAACGACTTCTTGTAATCACCGGGACCCTAAACACCAACGTTTGTTTTGTCAAAGAAAAGGCTGTAGCAACGCGATATAATATTAGAGATATACATAATACCCTTAACTGCTTTCTCGACATTTGTCATGATCACAGACACTTCTAGACTTCCTGAAGGAGCCCGTCGCGAAGATCTCTAGCTAGACCACGAGAAACGAAGAAGTAAATAAGTTCCAATGGTCTCTCTAGCTTCTCCAACCTCTAACTTAGCAACGGTCCCACATGAGACCCTTCACAGATCGACTTCGTGTAGATGTGGAAATCATCAACTAAGACGACAACGTGAAGAACCCATTCGTAATATACGCGGAAACGAAACAAGCACTCCATGACAAAAAGCATTCGTCGTTATCATCAGGAGTGCATCAAAAAAGAAAACGGAAGAATTTTATTTCGGATTCACCGTAGTGCAACTCGCTCATAGAACGATTCCTCGGCTTCCTGAAGAATACGTTGATCTTTCATCTTCTTTGATGAATGTGAGTCCAAACTCCTACATGAACGGGCTCACAAACGCCGTGCGTTCAGTTAAGCCCGTTTCCACTCGATCGTAGGTAACTGATGTAGGATCCATTTTGAATGTTTTGTGTGTGAAATTCCCTGTATGTATACACTTGCAGTTTGCTCCTATTAATTCCTTTAGTTGTACATTGTCAGCCTTTTTTATTCCAGTTGAGTTGGTAATATTTGTATTTTATTATAGTTTTTGCTTTTCTTACGCCTTCACTAAGTTTCCGTGTTCCTTCCTGGACTTCATTTATGTTGTTTTACTTGGTATCTAGTCTTGGCGGCAGTCATATTGGTTTGTTCCTCCTTTTGATTTTGTTGCTTGTATTGACTGGAATTGTGCATTTCTGGTTGTGAATTGAGGCACTCTTCCAGAATTGGAAACACTCTGTGTTACAAAGCAACCAAATATTATCTTTTGAACGAATCTGTGCGTAGTCTATCCAGACAGGATAGAAGAACATTTATTTATTGTGATTGGTAATTTTCTCGCATCCTTTATCAGCTTCCTTATTTATTGTAATTTAGATCTGATTACTTGAACAATTATTGGTTGGCTGGGTGGTCGTTTTTGTTAAGGTAACGGTGTACAGTTGAATTTATGATGAATTATAGAACCGTCATTTTACCCAATTACTTTGTTTTGGCTTCAACCGAGCAAGGGCGCGTATCTAACTCACCTAGACAGCTATTCTTCAATCCAAACCTTAGTTTAGATCTTACAACTGATGTTTTCGTTCGACCTGAATTACGATATAGTACACACGTCCTCGTACATCACGTAGTATCACGACGACCTCTCAAAATGGCATACGAATGACTCTTAAAAGTCCTTCATCGTACATGTAAGTACTATATCATCTATAAGAACAGGACTAGCGACAACATCAGCATTGATCGTCTTAGAATCGCGTGCCTAGAAGTGGGTCCTACTAATGTTGGCTTTTCTCCAACACAACCAAACAACACAAGCTCCACAATTACGATACCTCAGTTGATAATCAATAGTCACGAAGAAACTATGGTAGTATTCAACATCTGACCTAAAACGCGTTCTGCAAGAATAGTAGAGTTTTTTTGGACGCTTGAACGAACAATCCACGTAAGACACAACGTAACACTGTTTTATCTCGATTTTTTGCATTATCGTGTTTAGAAAAACAAAAAACAAACATTTGTTCACTAACATGGTCATATATGTGTACATACAAAAATTCATTGTGCGAAAATTGTCCCAACCCTATTGCATGTTAACCGGACGCGTGTTTAGGAGTTTATTTTTCATTTTCGGTCGTGCATTCAGACATGCACCTACAATCCCTCTTTTTCCTTTCCAGAATGTCTGAAAAAAGATGGAACAACCGACGAAATTTACCATGAACCAAAATATACATGATACTTGTTATAAATTACCGTATTGTACCACATGGCCCCTTATAGTAAGGAAAGACGACAAGATGCTGGTTTGCATAGCAAGCTATCAGAAGAGTGTTTACCAAATACAAGTGCAACATTAGTTACAAAATGGTCCCAGCGATCTCAAATGAGTCTCTGCAGGGGAAACTTGAGGCAAATCTGTGGACTCAGAACAACGCATCGTAATAACCTACTAGTACTTCCTCTTTTCATCAGTCATGACCTTTTCGTGCCTTAAGGTAACCCTCGTGCTATTGATAGAAGAAACCAGAGAAGTAGTGAATAGGTCTTTATTTTGATTATCTGTTCAGACAAACAAAGGCTCTCAACATTCAATATAAGATAATAGGGAATATAACGCTTATACAAAATAAGGAAGTCAATGAATACTTGAACAATACTGTCTTGGCATATGCTTGGTTGTTTGGGGTCAACTCTAAACCAACCAACCTAAGCTGTTACATTAGCTTTCCCCCTAGAATCGACTTCCGTAGGAACGTTGGTTTGATTAACTTATCTATTTCTCACCCCAAGGGAAAATTATCAACTCGCTCACTGTTTGACTTACAATCAGTGACGACTGACGCTGTCAACGATAGTCCATGAGTGTCTCTTCATTTACTAGCTTGTCATCTTATTTTGTAGCATGTGATTTTTTCTACAACTATCGCTGACGGTTTGCTGCATGCTTTCAAGAGAAAGTGTGAGAATGTGGAACAAGAATATCTGAGGAAGTGCCGCGAGCGGGCTACCCAACACCATGTTGGTGAGGTACGATTTTTCCATGCTCAGACCGGCTATCAGGTGTTTACTCAACTGCCTCTTGAGTCGCCCTCAAGTAAAAGGTAAAGAAGAATCTACTTCAGAGGTAATGGTGAAAATCAAGCAAACCTGAAGAACTGCTCTACTGCCTGCATAACATAATACGATACAAAATGGAAATACATAAATGTAATTGACAATTGTTCGGTTCCATGTAAGTGTTTGGCCTCCAGAACGGACTGGTATTCTGGAAGGAAATAGACATAGTGTAGATATCTTGTGCACGAAAAACCATGAAAACAAAAAAATACTCTTTTGTAATGCATATATGTAAAAGGGTGAACTTGCTAGAAGTTAGACTCTTCGACAAAATCGATCAAATGCATGACCTTGGACCTGTAATGACCGCCTTTTACAACTCGGTGCGTAACCAAGGGTGCATCACAATACTCCACAAAACGGATAAGAATATACGGTTAAGAAGCAAAAAATTGTGTGGAGTATGCGGATCAAGTACAGTTGTGTCAAATACCCTTTTCTGGTTTAATTTAGGTATGCATGATACATTGAAGCAATATTTCGTCAATTCATCCAAGTAACGAATTGGTTTGCACCTCAGAAGTGTGTAAGTCCTATTACTCATTATTATTATGAGTGATTAATTGGTGTAAGGAAATATTGAAGTCACTTCCTCCGTGGTCTGATGTAGTTGAACGGCTAAGCACGCGGTCTAGCATTCAGGAGGGCAGAGGTTCGAGTGCGTGTGGGGCCTGCGTTTTTGTTCACTAGACCCACCTTCAACACGATGTTTGTAATTCGCTCACATATGAGAGAAAAAAAATGACAAGAGGACAGATTGATATATCAAAGTGCCATATTGGAAAAGTATAAGTTCTTTGTTTACATTAATATTATTACTATATTATTACTAATATATATATATATATATATATATATATATATATATATATATATTGCCAATAAAGATGGGTTATATGATCACACTAAAAAGCATGCTGCAAGAAAACTGGT